GGGTGAAGTGTCTTGCCCAAGGACACAACGACCGAGACTGTCCAAGCCGGGGCTCGAACCGGCAACCTTCCGATTACAAGGCGAACGCCCAACTCTTGAGCCACGATTGATAGAAAAGAAATGTTTTTCTGTCATCGATTATGTGACATTCTAACTATGCATCTGATAATCCTGGTGACTCCTCAGGTATATCAACGTCAACAACATTTGTTTTCCTTGCAGGACTTTGATAAAGCATACCAAAGCTCTGGACCATACCCGACCTGTCACCTACATCACAGACAGTAACTATGCCAGGGACAAAGGGGTGAGCTTCCACAGCCTTCACCTCGCTATCAAGAATATATTAAACTAGCAAAAGATGCACAGCACTTTAAGACCACCCTTAAGTAGCAATTTACAATTTAGCAACAAACCTCCACCTGTGACCCCACCCCACGGGAATCCCTTAAAATCCATCCATGTGCTGTGCGAGTACACAAAGTTTTATGGAAATACATTTTACAATTTTTGTCTAACAACAAATATGCTTTAAGCTTGCACATGAATAATAAAGGAAAGCTCAAGAAGGTGGAGTTCTCTTGTGGCCTTTAAAATATTTTTAAAAAATATGTCGTCATCATGTTGAAGAATACCTCTAAAATATTTTAAATCTATTTTTTCTTTCCCGCCATCTAGGCTCCCTTTGTAGATGTTGTATGTGTAAACAGTTACTTCTCCTGGTACCATGATCCAGGCCACTTGGAGGTCATTCCTATTCAGCTCAACGCTCAGTTTGAGAACTGGTATGGAAAGTACAAGAAACCCATAATCCAGAGTGAATATGGAGCAGATGCACTTCCAGGGCTTCACATGGTGAGAATAAACTCACTCACTCAGTGACCTAGTCACATGTCACTTCAGCATCTTTAACAATTTTTACTGTCACTCTACAGGATCCGCCCATGATGTTCACTGAGGAGTACCAGAATGCTCTCCTGCAGAGCTACCATGATGTGTTTGACCAGAAGAGGAAGCAGTATGTTATTGGTGAACTCATCTGGAACTTTGCAGACTTCATGACTGCACAAGGTACTGCAGCTTCAAAATCAAGCAACCTGTAGAACCAGAACTGCTGCCGCTTTTCCTGTTTCTACAGTACTGATAGTATACAGTATAGCCTATGTTTTGTCTAAAGATGAGAGCTCTTTTCCTCCTAGGTGATAATTTATATCAGGAGATTAAAGGGAAACTCAAAAGGAAATCTGGGCTATAAAACAAAATGGCAACATAGTCAAGTTTCTAGATGAACTTCTGTGGAAAAAAATGACCCCTCTTGACATTCTACACACACCATTTGACACACACTACAACTACTGGATTCTACACACTGTCACTTTAACCAATTTGAATCTGCACTGCACAAGTTTTTGCACAAATTGTAAATACCAAATAATTGTCTTAAATTATCTTAATATTTAATACTTAGTACTTGCAGCTTTATTCAGTCACCTTATTATATTCTGCCCTGTAACAATGATATTTAATTGTCTGTCTACAGCAATCCATCGTGTGGTGGGGAACAAGAAGGGTATTTTTACCAGGCAAAGGCAGCCTAAAGCAGCAGCCTTCATCTTGAGGAGGAGGTACTGGAGACTGGCTAATGAGACGTGGAGACTGCCTCCTTGGACTAAATACCCCTGTTCACTCTGAAACTTTGTTGAAGGTAACCAGTCTGGGACATGCTCCGAACCTGCCAATATAATTCCCTCCTGTTGGGCCCTGAGGAGGGAATTCTGTGGGGACTCCACACTGGACTTGCGCATGTGGGGCCTCTGTAATCTAGCCTATGTGGGGCCCAAAGAACTGTTTCTCTTTTGGGGAATTCTGTGGGCACTCTGTCAGCAACCCATAGTGGGCTTGCCAACTTGTGGGCTGTGTTGGTCTGCCCACAGTACCCCCACAAGGGGGATGTTTGCTTGGTGTTGAACACTTTGCTGCAGCTCTTTTACTAATATGTCTCTCTAACTTTTGTATTGTTTTGGGTTTTTTCAGATTGATGCAGAAGACCCATCAAGTCCCACCATGGTGACAGGTGATCCACTACTTGATTCTGTGAGCACGGTAGCAGAACAGACTAATCTTCTGCTGTCGCTTCTGAGGATGCAGTATGATCAGTAGACTCCTGCTCTCACTATTGTTCATCTAAAGTGACCTTGGAGTCATTTTCTATACATTGAGCCCTGTGCTGCTCATTTAAATCCAAAACCTGCTGCTAGTTCAGTCATGGTGATTAAGGAATGTTTTTTTGTTTGTTTGTTTGTTGTTGTTGTTTTTACAAAAAAGAATGACCTCTAAGTTAAAAAAGGTTGTCTCTGAACCATCTTTGAACTATAAGTACTTTAAAGCCTTGTATACACTGCAAGCAATTTGCTCATCGCGCATCGCTTTGAAGCTAAAGGCTCTATGCTTTTGGACATTCCAGATTCAGGTTACCTAGGTGATCCCCTTTGTATTTACTAAAAGGTCAGATGTCAATCAGTGCATTTCTTCACTCTCATTGGTAGTTGCTTCAGTCTCTCGCCCGAAAGTTCAGAAAACAAAGTGGCTATCACCTACGAAAAATAGGTGATAGCCACTTTTTTTTTTTTTTGCCCAAAGTCACTTGAAGTGAATATCGTTTACTTTCTGTGGTCTCTCATCACCACGTCACTGCAAATCACTTTCAGTGTGTATGCAGCTTTACAAGTATTATCAGCCGTTCCAGTCACTATGAAGTCACCCGCACCAAATAAAGAATAAAAGCAAAGTTAGGCCTGTTTTACAATAAAGAAGAGCTAGTCTTTGCTATCTGATTGTGGTGATAACATTATTTTATTTTATTTCTGTTTTATTTTTGCTTCAAAAATCTTTCATTCAAGGCTAAGTACAGTGAAGATGCATCATCGGCACTGGGACTTGTATCGCGTATGCCTTGCTAGCACCAGGATGAACTCCTTTTTGCCTTCAGAACTGCTTTTACTCTGTAACATAGAGTCAACAAGGCACTGGAAAGATTCCTCAGGCATTTATCTGTTGCTCATCTATGATAAAAATCTACCATTCCACCACATACCAAAGGTGCTCTATAGACTGAGATCTAGTAACTTTGGAGGTCATGTGAGTAAAGTGAACTCATTTTCATGCTCAAGAAAACTAGTTTGAAATTTGTGATTTGAGCTGTGTGACATGGCATAGTATCCTGCTGGCAGCAGACCTCATAAGATGGGTAAGACCGTGATCCTAAATGATCCTGAATGGACATGGTCAGTAACTGTACTCAGGTTGGTTGTACCATTTTAAACTGTGCTCAATGGCACTCAAAGGCCATGTCATTAGATACAAGGTTGTCGTGTGATACATAAAACTGTATAAATGAAAAAGGTTGTACTGAAAATGACTGTCTGGAAGAACATTCTCTTTCTTGCAAGCAGATTCTGATCTTACACTGCATGTTTAACCAGTGGGGTTAGATTCTGGGTCCATTGTTATTCTCCTTTTACAAGTTTCCTTTAGCCGCTATCAATCTTTTTTGGGCCTTTTAAAAAAAAAAATTAAAAAAAATCATTTTTATGCTAGTGACATTCAACTGTACAGACTGTCGTTCCTAGTTTGCTGTGATCAGACAGTCGATTAACATTTCTAAATAAAGTATCACACCAACTACAAAGCAGTTACTTGTGTGTTGTTAATGACTCATGGTATCTTTTAAAAATTCTAAGTAAATGATTAACGAAATATTTAAATGCACATTTACTTTAAATAACAATTTACAAATGAAACTGAAAGGCAAGCAGTACCTGCAGATTGAAACATGTCTCAGCTATCCACACAACAGAAAAAGGAATGAGACAAAGCATAAAATGATACAAAGCATTTAAGTATACATTGCAAGATACAAAAATAATCTGAGGTTTAGAAGATACTAAAATGTAAATATTACCAGAGTGTGTGTGAGTGAGGGGGGGGGGGGTACTTCTAAGAGACAATGTCACACACTCAGCCATGGGGTACTTTTGATTTTACTATGCTATTAAATATAGTAATAATATTTTGAAATATGTCAATTAAAAACACAAGTTTATCCCAAAACAACAGTCAGTTGATTAAATATCACAAGTGTTAACCTTATTTCGATACCACGACTGTTTACTCAGAGTTTGTAATTGCAGAGAAATACTCCATTTATTTGGTGCATGTCATTGTTGAGCAGAAAGCTCAGAAAGCCCTTTGGGGCTTAAAAGGTTAATTAGGCCTCTGATATTTATTTATGCTAATTTATAGTTAAATTAATGATAGAAAAATTAAAGCTTAGTCTACTGTTAGCATATTTATTTGAAAGGGCATTGTGTTACTTTGTTTACATAGTAGGATATAGATCACAGTTCTTCATCAGTGCAGCATTTTCTGTAAACTCAGTAAAGGTCTGTGGCTGAATGTAGTGCAGTTACCACCAGAGGGAGCAGCATGTCGAGATTTGAAATGTCAAATTTCCAGATGTTGCTCTGGATGGGAGACACTATTGATATTGTGAATGATTTAAAGACATGGTATAAAGAGAATAAATTCCAGTGATTGCAGAATCATGGAGATGACAATATGAAGCAATATTTTAAGTTTCAAGAATTTTAGTTAAAATATTATACTCTAATGCAGATCTTAAAGCATAGAGAGACAAAATGAGAGCATTTTGATTTTTTTAAAAGGGGGATGGAGGTTAACATCGATTTTTAGCCTCAACGTGACAATATATTCCCAACCAACATTTTCTTTATTTAGTTTTAATCTGGAAACAAAAAACAGGAGTAATAATAATCTATTACTCCTAAAACAGTAACAGTCATAATATTCATCTAGCAGTGCATATAGTATTTTTACAACTGCAAGCACTGCTGGAAATGTTGCATCACACACTCAATCCAGCAACATTTGTCACCAACAAATGGAAACAGCGGGAGAGAGACAAAAACAGCTGCTAACCCCCCCCCCCTTAGAATTCTATGATTTCTTCCAAAATCATGCTCCCACTCCCACTGCTACCCGGTTTAGTAATTATATGCTTTGTTTGATTGTTACCATGTAATTTATTATGATAAAGTCAGGCACAGGTTGTTTGCAGAAGTGGTTAAAGGATACGTTAACAAATCGTTAGAATGTGCTAAACAAAGTGATGGTAATTTATATGAGGATACTGTTACAGATATATGCTGATTAATGAATGCTCTCTCCAACATTAATTTATTATCTGCTGTTAATACCTCCTGCCATGCAGATGAAAAACAAAACACTTTCTGTGTGCGGTGCTGGGGCATGCCCAGAGGTTCTATCTATGGATAGGAACATAGCTGGAATTTAACATAGTACATCTACTCAAGTACAGATTTACTATCCACTGTGTAAATACCGTAACTGTCTTTTTGTACCTGTTTTTTATTTACAGCACAGAGGCAAATCTGACTGGAAGAATGATGTGTACAGTGGTTGTGTGAGTGGAGGAGCTATTGGCTTTCCTGGTATGTAACTTACTTTATTAACTAATAGTTTGCATTACAGCAAATTTATGCATCTTGTCCACGTGTTTATTTTTCTGTTTTGCAGTTGGTGTTCAGATGTTCTGGGATGTGGAGGCTTTGCTGCATTCTCTGCTGCAATTGAATATTACTTGTGGTGAAGCTCTATGGAGTGGCTCGATGGACAAAAACATAAATATTACGCATGTGGACCAGAGAAAGAAAACTTGCGCTGTGAGCTTGCTAACCTTGATGTTTCCCTGCACATCAACGATTGCTGTAAAAGCAGAATAGAAGTGTACTGTTCAAACACGGGGATGTTAAGTGACCCCACAGTGGGCTAAAAAATAAAGAAACAAAAAAAAGACATGTCTCTGTTTTTCCTGTGACTTTCATATTGTGGACAGTTGGAGCAAGAAATGCCAATTTCTCACGGTGAATCGTCTGCTTCAGTGGCGTACTGATCAGGTGACGAAAGCTGAACTTGTCTGAATTTCACTCTGGGTTTGTAAAAACTCAGATGAGCAATGTTCTGCCTGTAAAACATTGGTTTGATGTGTAAGTAACTAATCCACACAGGATTATTTATAATAAAAACATTTTTTTTAAATTGTGGATTTACAACTTTTTTCCTTGATTATTAAAGGACTGCAACACCCAAACTGACAACTACCTTTGCTTTAATTTTTTTTTTTTTTTTTAATTACAATGAAAGTATTCTTCAGGAATAGTTTCATTCGTTCGGCTTCTTGAAGGACATTCAAATCTCTTCTTTGGATGCTGGCTGCCTTTTGTTCCCTTCTCTGTCAAGATGATCCCCACTATTCACTAATGTTGATGTCGAGGCTGTGGGGAGGCCAATCCACAACTGATAGCGTTCCAATATGTGTTTTTCTATCTGAAGATGGTGGTGTTGTAAATGCTATTTATTGTTTAAGTACGATAGCATAATGGTGATAGGGAGGCCCCAACCCCACCTCCCTAATGTAGGAGCCAACCAATAAGACCACTCCCTCCATGACTGCGACCAGTAAAACCACAATCATCACCAGCATTTGGTGAGAGTAGGAAGGAAAACCTGGCTTTAAACAGGAAGAAACCTCCACAGAACCATGCTCAGGGTGGGGCAGCTATCTGGCAGGACCAATCAGGGTTAAGGGCAGGAAGACAGACAAACCATATTAATCACATTAGCATAATGATGATAGGAAAGCCCCAACCCTGCATTCCTAATCTGATTCCTAATCTGATTCCTAATCAGATTAGGAATGCAGACTAAGCCCTTGCAGACTAGATGGCACGCTTCTGATACTTATTAATATCTGATGAAACATATGGGAGAGATCCGAACTACTTACTCCAATGCAGGATTTAGTCTTCTTTAAGGTTTAGTGTGATAATAAAAGGCAGCTGGTGATCAATTCTGCTGCATGGCACATATGGTGTCCAAAGTTTTTCAAAATTGGACAAAGTACGGAATGCCAGAATATGTATTTATTAAAAGTGCAGTCATTTTTCACTGTTTCACTTCAGAAGGATAAATCTTTGCACAGATGATGTTTATATGTTGATTACTGACTTACTGGATTAAAATGTGAACTAAAGCATATTTTAAAGGGGTTAATGTTTTTATATTAGTCACATATATATCCCCTCACACTTCAACACAATAACTCATGGTAAAAATATAAAAAAAATATAATATTTACATTGCCTTGTAATCTAATATATATCTTACATTGCGCAGGATGTAAATTGTTTTGGCCATCTTTTTTTCAACATTTTCAATATGAGATTTCCATGTTAACTTGTGTTCCACTATTACACCCAGAAAACAGAGTTCAGCCATAATTTATTTACATCAAACCATTTCTTTTTAGTTTTTTCATTTCAATAACCTCAGCTTTAGCCAATTTTTTCAAGTTTTCTCCAGAATAATAAAAAGATTGTGTCATCTGCAAACAAAACAAAATGTAACATTTTTGACACATCACAAATGTTGTTTATATATAAATTAAAAAGAAGGACAGGATCAGGAGAACCTGAACCATCCCTTAGTTATGCTGCAGGCCCAGGCTGCTGAAAGTTTCCCATGATGCACTGAGCATTTCTTCTTCATTCACCTCTCTTTACTCGGTGTTTATATAGCACTCTGCATTTAATGCTTAATTATTTTTGTCACAGCTTTTGTCCTGCCTCCCTACTGTAACCCCCCAACCGGTCGCAGTACATGGCTGCCCCTCTCTGAGCCTGGTTCTGGGGTCGTCTGGTTGTTGGGATTTTCTCTCTGTAGGGTCTTAAAGGACTTTGAGGGGACTATTGTTTGGTGATATATAATTGATATTAATCATAGCATAATCATACATCAATTCATGTGGTTCACCTAGGTTTATCATTTTAAATGCACATGTGCAGTAGTTGTATTAATCATGCTACATATTATTATTATGACCACTGAGGCAGGGCAGCTATAGCTATACATAGTGTAAGATTAACACGGGATAAACATAACAAAAACAATAAAGTTGTGAATTCTTTTTAGGGCCATTCATTTTATTCACTTTATTGGGGCAGAAAAATAGATTCATTTACTACAGTTTGAAACAAGCAAACATACAAAAGTCCGTTTAATGTAATGTAAATTTTCCCTATCAAAAGAAAACACTGGACAATACTAATACAATAAAAACTGCTAGAACATGGATCTAGTTTTATTTGCGGATGAATATCAGTCGATGACGCTTCTCCAGTATAAAAAGTCCTGTTTCCCTTGGCAACTGCAGTTAGAGGGTGGTGTCTGTGTATCTGTGAGAGCAAGGAAACGTAAGTGAACTCAAGCTGTAAGTATGACTATGCGTTTTTTTTTAAAAGCGGTTTTTGTTAGATTTCTGACATCAGCTGCTTTTCCGCTGATCTGTGAAACACATTTTAAATGTTCTTCATTTAGTTATTTTTTAATGTGCGACCCAACAGCTATATAAAGAGTGACTGTAAAGATGTAACTTGTTTAGCACCTGATATACCAATTCTAAAACGAATACTGTCGTTATGTTACGTTGTAAGCAAGATGCTTTCTATGAACTATGCCGTAAAAACGCTAACGTTAACTAATAAAAATGGCTACCGTCCATTAGGTTGTAACGTCAGCTGGACAAAAAGGAGGCAAACAACAATAGCTTATGTTAAAATGGCGCTGGTACGCGAAACACTGGTTTCCTACCAGTATGTTATAAAACTGGTGTATGACTCAGTCCTGTTTATCGCGCCTGCTGGAAGGATAACTAGTAGACCGACTGATAGTATATAAAGAAAACGTATGCATAAGCCAACTTTGGTGTGCGTTTCTACAAGGAAGAAATAATTGCCCAGCATTTTACAAATACAGTACTATTGCACAGCATGCTGATCAAATATCTTTATTAGTCATATCGTGTGTGTGTGTGTGTGTGTGTGTCTTATGTTTTATTATTGGTAATATGGAATCTTTTTCACAGGAGAAAACATGCAGATCTTTGTGAAAACCCTAACTGGTAAGACCATCACTCTCGAGGTTGAGCCCAGTGACACCATTGAGAATGTCAAGGCCAAAATCCAGGATAAGGAGGGCATTCCCCCTGACCAGCAGAGGCTGATCTTTGCCGGCAAGCAGCT